GCACATTTGGGAGATGATTCCAGAGAGCAACAGTAGCGGAGTCGGGAAGAAATACAGGGAAGGGAAGGAAGCCGATAAATGGTGTGTTAGCAAGTTAGCACTGTGGGTGACTGGAGCTCAGTCCCACTGAGAATTCTGGGAATGGTACAGAATATGCTTCAGAATTGCCCCACTTGAGGGGTGAGGAAGCTGGGGTGTTCCCCCATCAAGTTCCTGTCAGTCAACTGTTAAGTGCTCCTGGGGGGCACTGTTAAGTCCCTGGCACTTTGGTCTGTTCCTATGCAAGCCAAGTGGGTCCCACTGCCTAGAGAACGTGTTCAGGCAAAGGCTTGCAGGAGCTTCCAGTTGAGAATGGGGCTGGTATACACAGATGTGTAGTCAGTGTGGTAAGTGCCAAAGGGCAAGTGCTGGACATCAAAAGCATCTGTCAATGAGTAGGTAAGACAGGTGATCTTATCCAATTTATAGATAGTAAACTGAGGTCCAGTTTAACACTATAAAACAATGTGGAAGGTGGTGAGGGGCTGGGAAGGACCTCTCTTCTTTGGTTACCTACTTTCAGCCCACCCAGAGTCCTTTTTTTGCTTGCTTATATTCCTGCTTTGTGTAATCAGGTAGTTGGTGATCTACCTCTGTGGCAGACTGGCTAATGCTCACATAGTCTTTCTCTGCTTCTTTCACCCCCAACTAAATTCCGTTTCCCAATCTGCCTTGTGAAAGAGTGTGGCATGGAACAGAGCTGTGATGAAGTGGAAATGATGTACAGTACTTCTCTCCTTGACCTATGCAAACCTTTATGCATGGCCTGCCTGCTCTTTACTCTTCAAGCAGGCTGGGATAGAGATGACCCCCAGGACATCCTAGAGAGTTACATTTTGAGGATGGCCAACCCACAATATGGAAGGAGCCTGGACCCTTGACTCATCACCTAAAAGAGAGCCACTTGACCAGACACATCCCCTAGATTTTTACTGTGTTAAGCCACAGTGATTTTGAAGATTATCTATAATAGCTACTAGTATAGTATTACTATAAATAATGCAACATACATGTGTAATCAAATAATTTATTCTTCTTTATATCACTTATCATTATCTCAGATTATGTCTTTATTTTTCAGCTGTCTGCCCTCCAACAGGAGTATCTGTATTTGTATACTGTTTTATCTCTGGCATCTGGAACAATGCTGGGCAACTGGGAGATGTTCAATATACATTTTTCAAGTGACTAAATCCCAATGTCCAAACTTCATTGCATCTGACAGGCTCCAAGAACTTCATGGCTCTTATTTCATTCTCATAACAACTGTATGAGGAACTGAAATGCATAGAGGCTGATTAATCTATCCAGTGGTACCCAACAGGCAGTTGTGGAAGCCAGGACTAGAATCCAGGAAGTTTGACTCAACCTTCAAATTTTTAAGCCCTCTGCACATTGTCTGACATCTGCCAGCGGCAGTGCTAGGAGCTGAGAGTGTAGAAAAGTAAGAGACACAACATCTGCCTCTGAGGCCTACCCAACAGGCAAGAGCATGGGGTTTGCTTGCAGTAAGTTTGCTAGAAATGTTGAGTTCTGTTACTGACCCAACTGGAGCAAGGGCTCTGCTATAGGAGCAAGCATCCTCTTATAGAATGATAGAACTGAGCAGAATATGTAGAAATAAAGCCAGATACTCTGTCTCCAATGTGAGATATCATAAGGGCTGATGCAGGGACATTTCGCAGATTTGAACAATTCAAGTAAAGGCAGAGTGAGTTAGAGAAAAACAAACAAACACCAAACTGATCCTGTGAGTGCTGTGAAGACTTAGGAAGAGAGTAGAACAAGGGTTAAGGTTACAAATATTGGGTTGGTGATTAGAAAGAACTGGCTTCAGCTGGCTCTGCCATTTATGGAGCATTTATGACTTTGGGCAACTTTGCTAACCTGGTTGGGCTTCTTTTTCCTCATCTGTAAAATGGATGTGATGCACTATGCTTGCCTCCCATGTTAATGTGAGCTGCACAGAGGCACAAAGTGTGTGCTCAGGAAAGGGTGGCTAGTATAGTACCTATTCTTTGATCCCTGATGTTAGGCTGGAGAACTCTATCCTCTTGGCCGCTGAGCTACACAGGCAGAAACACCCCGGAGCCTGTAATCATGGTGGACAACTGTAATAGGGCCAAAGAGAAAGTTCCTTTGTCCCTGTTCTCTTTCTCAACTTTCCCATGTGCAGCCACTAGAGGGCCTTGGGCATCTCTGTTTGCCACTATTGGCTTGCTCACATGGCACCCAGGAGGCCCAGTGATTAGAAAAAGGACTCTTTTTCCAGCAAAGGAGCAAGAAATTTGATGAGAGTCATTTGTAGAGCACTTGCTGAGGGTCATATTTACAGGTGCTGTTGGTGAAGGTGCAGCCTTCTCTGCTGCAGGCAAAGTTGGCCCTTGAGCACATGCTCCACTTCGAAGGAGAGAATTACTTGGAGCTACCAAGGGGCTGGCTTGAAGCCCTGTGCTGAATCAGACAAGGTTGCCTTGTCTTATTAGATAGCTGAACAGAGGGGTCTGGCTTTCTGAACATCACTCATTGGCTTTGGGACTGACAACTAGATTATCCTGATTAGAGGCAGACCATAGTTCCACAAATTTCCAGAGGTGTGACACTAACTTGTACTGGAGAGTAGGGATGTATTCAGTAGGCAAAAAGCCCGGGGACCTCTCTGCTCCCATTTCACCTCACCTTCCAACTCTCATTTCACTAGGTCAGCAAAGTCTGATATGAAAAGGCAAAGAGCCCATTGCAAACATTGCTCATATCAGTCATCCTCACTGTAGTAGGAAAGAGCTCTGTTTCTGTTCCTTTTTGTCTTCCAGGCTAAATCCTTAATAAAGACACCTTAGATATGGCTCCATAACTTACCACTCTTGTTCCTCTGCTTATCATTCTAAACATACTAGCCTTTGGGAAACACCAAGCTCATTCCTAATTCCTTGTTTTTGTTCTTTTTTTCTGACTCCAAATGCCTCCATTTCTCCCTCCCTCTTTGCTTTATGAAATACCACACCTCCATTGGACTCGAAGGTACTTACTTGATTCCTGCCTCTGTTTTCCCATAGTACTTTGCATTTATCCTTAATAAAACATTTATCAGAGGGCTATTATACGTTTTTTTCTCTCATTTGGTTGAGTTTCTCATGTGCTTCATTTCCAGTCTCTGCTTGAATACCTGTCTCAACAGGGAACTCACCACCTCAAAAATAATGCAATCCAATGCAACCAACTCTCTTTGCAAAAATAGTTTCCCTATTATAGAAACCAAATCTGCTTCCCTGATATATAGGTGTATTGATTCTCTCCCTACCAGTTCAGTTACCTAAAATTCCTTCAGATGTCAATAGGCTAGGAAAAGAAAGTTGGGTCCAGTGTGATATATCCGCCCCCCCCCCCCGAGTTTTGGTTTTCTCATCTGTAAAAGGAATAATCTGCATGATTAGTTCTACTTGATACTATAATTGCTGAATTTTGTCTGGAAGCAGCCCTGCTCACCTGGACTGTCTTAAACCTTTCCTCTGGCTTGGTTTTCTTAGCTCCTTCTTAGCTCTGAGGAGGCAAAAACTTACCTGTGGGTCAATGACTTCAGCTTCCTGGGGACTAGGTTGACGTTCTTGGTGCCAAAGATGCTGAGTTATACCACCCACCATCACATCAATCAATGAGCCTTTTATTCCCACCTGGTTTAGACCTTCCTCTCCCCCTGCCTTGGAGTCCAGGGCTTACCAGGATTATTTATGGTATTTGTATCATAAATATTGGCAGGTAACACATTTATTGCAGGTAACACATTTTATTATGATTTTATTATATATTCTCTTTTCCTGGAGTTTTGCAAGTAAAGATTTCATAAGAACAAATTCTTTATTTGTCCTAAGTTCCACACTACAGAACCAGGTAATTGCTTGAAGCACAAGACTCAGTGACTCAATAAATACTTTACAAAAATAACGTAGTTTTTTCCCCTTTCTTAAAACATAAAAAAATTAGTTTTTTTTTCTAAACATGAGTCCCCCTACTCTTTTTATATGTATTTACTGGGAATATATTGGTGGAGAAAAAAAATGTTACGATGGTATTAAAATAAAATAGATGAAATGAGGTTTATGTTCTTTTACCATTTATTTTGCTTGTTTTTCTTTGGAAAAGTGCTACTATTTTTACATCTGACCTTCCTGCAGCCTTCTGAACCTACTAAGACATGAGCAGAACGTCTCCTACTCTGAAGCCTTTCAGTAGAATTATAGCATTATGCTAATATTGGCCTTTTATTTTAAAGCCTATTTAAAACCAGTCATCAGATTTGTCCCTCAAATACCCATGTGCCCCCCACCCCCTATCCAATCTTAGGCAAGGGCATTTTGGAAGCTGAGACTCTAGCAAGGTCCCTCAGGACTAAAGACTATTTGTTTTTAGGTGGCCGTTTTCTTATTTTGACACACTTATGTTGAGTTATTTAGTTTTTCTTTTTTTAAATCATTACAAAATTCCCTTTCTCTCCCACCTCCGGAAGCCCCTGTCTGAACTCTCACAGAAGGGATTAAACAGTTTCACAACTCCAGCGAAAAAGTTTATGCTTAAGTCACATTCATATTAAATAAGTTATATATAAAAACTGCTCATAACGTTTACAACTCAGTCTTTTCCTCTTTGCTTCTCTAGAAAACATTGGATTGGGGTGTGAGTTGAATCTCACCCACTATGGCTTCCAGGTTCTTCTGGCTTCTTTGTCCTCATCCTCCTGCTGACATCGCCCCTTGGAGGAATTTCAAGGAGCTCTGTGGGCATTTCAGATGGCAAGGTGGCTTCAGATGGCAGTCACCTGGGGCTGGTGCACACCCCTAGTGTAATTTATGAAAAATACCCATGTGGTATATACAAATATACATGTATGCGGATAAGAGGGGCGCTGCCCAAGCGGTAGATCAGTGTAGTGCATTTGTGTCACAAATACCCGAGGTGGCATCTCCTTAATACTCCCTGGCCTCTTGGAACTGCTTAATGTAATCTTCATCCGAGGGGCTCTCTGTGCACTTCTGTCCATTGTTGGGAGGCCGGGCCTCGTTGTATCTGCTCCAGTCACCCTTGCAGATGATCCAGGGCAAGATGTCCACCTTGTAGTGGAGCTCAGCTGAGAACTCAGTGCTGATAAGGTTGGGCGTCCCAGCCCCTTTGCCCCTGGTGATGAGCTGCATGTTGTCGCCATAGCAACAGTGCTGGGCGGCCAGCGTGGTGCTCTCCAAGGACAGCATGGAGCGAATGCAGTACCGGGCCGTGGGCTTGTAGATCTCTAGCTTCTCTTTGGGCCCACTGGCGTCCTTCCAGCGGAAGTCCTTGCGCTTAATGCGGTCAAAGATGTCCGCCGTGCTGTAGGCCACCTCTGTGGGGTAGGAGCAGGGGCAGCTGGGCAGGTCATTGATCACCTTGTGCATGTACTTCTTTAAGAACTCACTTTTGCAGCTCATCCATCGCTCGCAGCTGTCCGTGTCTGAAAAAGACCAGGGAGAAACCCTCTCACTACATGCAAAAGGGGAAGCAGGTTAAGGCTGAGGTCAACTCCTGCCCTCCCAGGGGCAACCCCTGCAGCCCCCTGGAACCACCAGCCTTTGGTTGGCTTGCTCACCTCCCTTGAACTTGGGAACTTTATTCACAAGGCAACCCCTTCTCCACTGTATACTATGAAAAATTTTCAGACACATAGAAAAGTAGAATACATTTAAGCAGTGACTACCTATATGCCATCACCCAGATTTAACCACTACATTTGCTTCATCTTTTTTGTTTTTTTGAAAATATATATTATCCTTGAGTTTTAGTAGGCATCTGGGGGGGAAAAGGAGGATATGGGGATAACCACAACCCCCTTATCACCTATGACAAAATTAACAATAATTCAGAGGGCTATTTTGAATCTGCTCTTTAAATAAGTGGTGACAAGGTAAGGCAGAAAGTACCTCCAGGGGAATTTATAGGAACAAGTTTTTTTTGTGCCCCTCACTCACTGGTTTAAACTAGAGCCATGGCCTGATCTCTTAACCATGGGTACCGAACAGCGACGACCACTGCAAGCAAATCCATATAAGATGCCTCAAAGAGGAAGGGGCTGGCCCCTGCTTTTAGGGCACCTAACATTTAGGCCAGAGGCCACTGACCTGAAGAACCCACCCCTGGTGGTGTTCTATTTGGACCTTACAATATTAAAAAATATTGAATTAATTGCCAATGAATTAATAAATTATTGAATTAACTTAAGACTTAGGTGATTCTAGTTATTAATGTGGATTCCTGGTTTTATTTGAAAAACCTAAAGATATGTTTATGCTGGTCCTGCACTGCCCCAAGGGAACAGGCGTCATGAACAGGCAAACAGTGGCGAATGTTGCACAAACCAACGTTGAGCAGAAAAAATCTGCTGGGGTTGTCTGGGGGTGGGGAAACATTCAGCGTCACCAGAGCAGAGGTTATAGGGAATGAGTTTAGGCTTGTTTAGATGGCCCTGGGCAACTGCTGAAGGCTTCTGAGTGATAGCGAGCTATTAGCTAAGCTGTACAATAGGAAGATACATTCAGAGCTGATATCTGTCATAAGAGTCCAGGTGGGAAGGGAGGGGATGGAAGGGATCAAGAGTGGTCAGGGAGTTAGGGCTGCTGGGCCTTGGTGGGCTTGAGGGTAAAGGAGAAAAGACTTTAGGAGTGACTCCTCAGCTCTGACCCCAGGTGTCTGGGAGACTGGTGGTGTCCTAGGAGGGAATCAAGAGACTAGGACGGGGGTAGGGTTGGGAGGGGCAGTTTGGAGGAGGGTTCAGGCTTCTCTTCAGTGGAATGAAGAGGAGAGATATAGGGCATCTCTCAGGAGCTCAGAAAGGCCTGGCCTAAGATAAAGAGTGTGGGGTCTTGTGTTGGACTGCCTGGGATCTTCCCGCTCAACCGTTTGGTAGCTCATGACCTCGAGCACAATATTCTCCCTCACTGTGATTCAGCTTTCTCATCTCTACATTGGGGATGAAAATAATGCCTGTCTCATAAAGTGTGCTGAGGATTAAACTAGAACACAGGGAGTACCCAGCACGCACGGGACCGGGGTGCTGCCTGAGGGCATGTGCGAAGGCTCCATTCGGACCTGAGCTCTGAGACTCCACCCCTGTGGAGCCCCTGACTGAACAGTGTGAGAGCATGCAGGCCTCCTCCTGGGAAATGTGTGTCTGCAGAACCAGTGAGGGTCTCTTTCAGAGAGCACGGTCTTCAGAAACAAAGTTCAGTGAGGTGCTAGAAAGTGGCTTTGTTATTATCCTTTTAGTGTGGAAGGTCATCATAATTCATGTGCCTATAGAACATGCATTGACTTATTTGTATCAAACTTATGTAGATGTTCAGTGTGATGGGCATGCTCTAAATGCTTTGCAAATACTAACTCATTTAATTCTGCAATAACTCTATATGGCACTATTACATCAGACCATTTTACATATCAGATAACTGAGGCAGTACAAGGTTAATAAATGACCTTGTGCAAATCAAGCTTTGTCCCATCTCTGCTAGGCATCTTCTGTTTGGGGTTTTATATCCTCATTCCATGTTTTTTCTTGCTCTGGAAGGTTTTTCTTGCTCTGGAATCCTCAGTGGATTGCATCAACACACTCCTTGAGCCCTGACTTCTTTTTGGGTTGAGCCAAGGGGAGGACCTGGCCAGAGACCAGGGGAAGAGAGGAGAGCGAGGTCAAGGTATTTGTTCCCCTGTCTCCTCCCTTGCTACTGCAGGTTGGCTACATCCTTCTTTAGCAACAAGAGTGCTGTTGGTAACCCTCTCCACACGGCTGTGGATTGTGGTAGCCACTCCTTCCCCTGCTCCCTTCAGGCCAAGGGGCAGTAAGGGCTCCCCACTGCTCTGTACGGCCCCGTACATCCCCTTCTTGGTTTCCATTCTACCCTGCTCACACCTTTGCAAACAGACCCTCATCAAATGCTCTTCAATTATCTGTTCAGTGTGCCATGTTTGTTCGTGCCCAGAACCTGACTGATACCCAGTCCTACTTGTGTCTGTGAGTCCTCAGTCGTATCTCAGGTGTGACTTTGCACAACAGGACCCATCCTCCCAACAAAGCAAGCAGCTGCCTGTCCGTAGGGTGTGCAATATGGAGAGACCCGAGAAGCTCTCTGCCCCGCAAAGACAATCTTTGTTGCTCTACTATTTTATGTAAATGTCCCACATTTAGTCTCTAATTTTGGTGTCGGGGGAGTCAAACACATAGTGTTTGCAGAAGGCTCCTGCGAAAGGTAGCTTGTGTGTGTGTGAAAGACTGAGGTGGAACCCCCGGGTGACACAGAATTTCCACACTGCCTCCAGTTTGGCTGAGGAGACAGGGCAAAAGTGAAGAGGCTAAGAAAGACTTTCGGGGTGACACGAAGAAGTGTGACAGAAGGAGTCTCATCTTTCTGCAATAAAGAATTGTACCCCAAAGCATGTGAAGCTATTTTTAAAAAGGAAGCTTTCACCTCACACCTGAGTAGTCACTTTTTTTTTTAATTTTTTTAACGTTTATTTTTGAGACAGAGCATGAATGGGGAGGGTCAGAGAGAGAGGGAGACACAGAATCTGAAACAGGCTCCAGGCTCTGAGCAGTCAGCACAGAGCCTGACGCGGGGCTCGAACTCACGGACCGCAAGATCATGACCTGAGCCGAAGTCAGCTGCTTAACCGACTGAGCCACCCAGGCGCCCCCTGAGTAGTCACTTTTAATTTTGTCTGGTTCATGCTTATTGTGTTTGGTCTAGCACTTTCTGGCAGATGAGGAGCAGGGTATGCCGAAAGGTTACAAAAAAATTGATGGGGTAGAGAGAGGCAGGTATAATGCCGAGAAAGTTCCCTTTTTCTCTCCGTCCCTCCTTTTGCTGCAGAACTGAGATCAGCATTTCCTGACTTCTTGGGGACACTCAGTGAGGCCTGTGAGAAGAGACCCCATGCAGCCTGAGGCCCTACTGAGGCTGACTCTGTGCTCAGGGAGAGCAGTCCTGTCCCACTTCTTGCCACGGAAGCTGTGTAGCAAGCAAGGCAGACCCAGCCGGCTGCTCTGCTCAGGCTGGTCTGGGAGGCCCGGGACTGCTCTCTCCTGCTCGGACTGTATTCGGGTAGCAAGAAATGTGCTGGGAGAATTGGACCCCATAAGAGGAAAACAAAACACTTAAATGGATCCCGGGATGGGACGGCACTGCAAAAGCAAAAGGAATCACCAAAACATTAAATCAATATTTGAATAAAAAACCAAAAGGGGCGGGGGAGAAAACTCTCCTTACCAACTTCAAACAGCTTGGTGGCGTTAAACTCCTCGCTTCCTGCAAGCAGACTCACTTCGGTGGCAGCTGTCCTGAAGGTGTCTTCGATTCCTAGACACAGACAGGAGCTCATTTTTCCCTAGTTTTATGGAAAAATTACCCTCCAACCGCCCCCCCCCCCAGCAAATACAGAAACAAATACACCTGAACAAAGCTTTTTTGTATTCATGACCACTCCTGGGTAGGAACTTGCCAGTGGAGGAAACAGTAAAAAGCAGGTAGTAGAGCATAAAATATATTAAAACCCCAGATACCATTTGCAGCATGAAATCAGATCCAAATGTGCCTGAATTAGCTTTTTTTTTTTTTTTACCATATTTTTATTTTTTTAGAGAGAGTGCAGTGTAAGGGGGAGAGGGGCAGAGGGAGAGATAGAATCTTTTTTTTTTTTTTTGAGAGAGAGAGAGAGATGGAGCAAGTGAGCCAGGGGCAGAGGGAGAATTCCAGGAGAGGCAGAGGGAGATAGAGGGAGAGGGGGAGAGAGAGAGATAGAGAGAGAGAGAAGCGGGGCTTACCCCAAGCAGGATTTGTGTTTATCTAAAGCGGGGCTCGAGCTCACCTGATGTAGGACTTGAACTCACGAACCATGAGACCATGACCTAAGCCAAATTCATATGCTTAATGACTGAGCCACCCAGGTGCCCCTGAATGAGTCTTAAGGAACTCATTCACTAGGCCCAGGAATGGGGTTTGGGGCAGTGGGGGACACATGTCTGCAAGGCTGTCTGTCTGCTGGTGTCAGGGTGACAAACTGAACTAGAGGCAATGGTTAATATTTTGTCTAGTGGCCAATACCAGTTTTAAGGACTGACTGGGTTAAAATTATAACTAGTCTGGTGATGTTGGGGAAGCCTCTTTACCTTTGTATGCCTCAGCTTTTGCATCTGTAAAATGGAGAGAAAGAAGTGCCCCACCTCACAGAGCTGAATGCATTCAACAAATTATGTGTAAAGAAAGCACGGTAGTTAAGCGGTAACTGTTGGTTGAGTTTTCCCTGGTTGAGAAAACCAGTTTTCCCTGGTTGGTTGAGAGTAGCTCATTTTGAGGATGTCGCAGTCCACAACTAAAGACCAGATACCTCAAATTCTAGGACTTTCAGCATTGACAACGATGCTTCAAAGAGAATACTCCGACCTTGTCAATACTTGCTCTGAGGGACTGAACTCAGCTTGCCTAATACTTCTTGGTTCCTCTTTCATCCCCAAACTACCATTCCCATCCAGGCTTCCCTTACGGACAGGAGTCCTGTGCTAGCTGAGGCATCCAAGGAGGCTGGAGTGGTGGAGAGCCTTGGCTGCCTGCTAGGTGTGACTTGATTTCCTTTAAGGGGCTCTCTCTGACTTTATGTGAGGCCCCTTGAACTTATTTGTAGGGTTGACTTAGGGGACAAACTTTTACAGGGTAATCACTGCGAGGCTGGGGAGATTGCCTGCCCCACGACTCCTTCCAGTAAGGCTGAGAATCAACAAACCAAATAAAGAAAAAGATCCTGTAAAAAAAAAAAATCCTTCATGAAGCCCTGAAAACCTGGAAGCCGAGGAACAGAGAGGCAGAAAGGATGGAAGGAGGGCAAGATCAGATGAGAAGAAAATGTATGAACAGTGCTGCTGGGCATGCTGCTCTTGGTGGTGAGAGAAAATGAGAAGGAAACATTCAAAATGGTGGCAGAGAAACATTCACAATGGTGGTCACCAGGTAGTAGACTTGGATCCGGATGCCAGCCTGCGAAAAGAAATAACAGGCAAGCCCCCAAGCCCTGACAGTAAATGCCATCTGTATCCATGACTGGCTGAGCCCCATATCCTTCCTCCTGGTGGCAGTGGAATAGTTTAATGGTTAAGAACATGGACTCTGGAACCAGACTGCCTGGATTCACATTCAAGATTGATCACTTGCTGCTTGTGTGACTCGTACAAGTTAATCCCATGCCTGTTTCCACAGCTGTCAAGTGGGTACAATAGTAAATACTTATTTCATGAGGCTATTGCAAGGATTAAATGAAATAATGCCCCAAAAGATCTGAGAAATTGGCTTGATATTTAAGTCCTCAAACAATCCTATTCTTCATGATCTTCATTACATTTTGTTTTCCTTCTTCACCATCCTCGCTTTATCTTCATCTTCGCCTTTGTTTTCTTGTTTTATCTCATCTCCATCATCATCATCTTCTTCATACTGTCCTTCTCTCCTTTCTTCCTTTTCTTCATGTATTTCTCCTCTTCCCCCTTCTCATGTTATTATTATTTATTGGTATATTTTGTACCCACCTAAATCCCATCACACCAGACTTCCAACTCAGCTTCATTACAGTGAGCATAGGAAAGATCGGGAAGAGCATCTTGATGGTTGCTCCATTTTCTGAAATCCACCTGCATGGCTGACATGGAGCCCAAGCTGCCGCTTGTTAAACATCAGCCCCATTTTCTACACATGCCCCTTTGCTAACAGACACATGTCCAGTCTGATCCTTCCTCTCTCCCCTCAGAAACCCCTTTGCTCTTTCACTTCTTTTCTGTTTCAGATCTCAGCCTTATGGTCTGACAACCAAGTTTCTAGGAGTAGGAAAAGGAAGTCTGGGGGTGCAGGGATCTAGTTTTCTGCCTCTGATAGTCATCTTTCAGATGAAGCCATTTGGAATGTACAGTTTCTTGGAAGAACCTGAGATATTATTTGAAGCTGGCATTCTACCTGGCAACGGGAACGCAAAAGTAAATGTAAAACTGCAGATCAGGATCTGGTAAATTTTTTTTGTAAAGGGGCAGAGAGTAAATGTTTTAGGCTTTGTGAGTCACATGTAGTCTTGGTTGCATATTTCTTCCCCCACCCCTACTCACACTCCTCTCCCTCCATTTCCTCCTCCTCTTTCTTCTCCTCCTTCTCCCCTGCCTTCTTCTTGACCCTTTAAAAATGTGTAGGCCATATAAAAACAGGCCACATTTTGACACCCAACTGCCACAGACAGTCACAATTATTCTTTTACCCCCAGTGGCGTCTCTCCAATTGCAATTAGTTTAGTTTTTAAAACACTGACAATGCAGTTTAAAGGGATAATTAACTGCCAGGTTTCCTCCGTCTCCTCCCTTGGAGGCTTCAGCAACTCTCACACATCACCGACAGGGCTACCTGCATGGTTCTCCTGTATGTGGCTGTCAATCCACTCATCCTGGCTTCCTTATCAGACCACAAATGTCTGTCTGCGTCTCTTCAAGGCACAACAAATCCCACATCAAAGTCTCAAGTTAAACAGAATCCCCCCTTTAAATTAAACAAGTACACTGTGGCATTGCATTCTAGGTCATGGCTATAGCGATTGTGCATAAGGTTCAGAAAACCCATTTTTTCATCCATTCAGCTCATTATGCTTGTGTTAGCTCTTGTTGTTTCAGCCTGGTCAGAATTCTTACTAGGGAAATGGTTGTCTTTTAGAAAGTCACTTTCTCTAAGGCTTGAAAATAAGTTAAAAACTTCCCCCCGAACTTGGAGCCACTCCCCTGTGTATACCAACCTGGGCAGTTTGGACGATCACATGTCCTAGATTCTGTTGCGGTACATGCGTAGCCACAAGACCTAGTCCGTTTCTGGTTGCCATTCCCACAGGTGACACTGCAGACAGACCAGAGACTCCAGTCGCCCTCACCATCTGTGGAATCTGGAAGGGAGCCAGGGATACGGTCACCAGCCTCGCCCAAGGAGTCCCCAAATCCCTCTTGTCAAGCAGCCTGCCAGTTGTCTTCTTCCATCGTTCTCACTGTTGGAGAGGACTAGATGCCAGCTGGAGGCAAAAGGCTTATGGCTCCAGGGTTCATTCTAGGGATTAGCTTCATGAGAGCAGGACTCTGTCTGAGGTTTTGAGCACTGTGGTGGTCAGCACACAGCCAGGGCCTGACTCCTAGAAGGTGCCCGGTCAGTGCTTATTGAGAATGCCTGCATTTGTAGAGTATGGGATCATGGATACTATGGTAGGTAGTTTTCAAAGATGGCCACCATCAATCCTTTCCCTCCTATTACATACGAGAGAGAGAGAGAGAGAGAGAGAGAGAGAGAGAGAGATTGAGAGAGAGTGTTTATTTCCCCTTCTTTAAAATCTGAGCTGACTTTGGCCTTAAGAGGGCCTGGCAGCTTCTGACTTTTGCTCTAGGCAATCCAGTCACTGTGAAAGAAACTGAGGCTAAACTTGTGAATTGTGGGGCACCGCATGGAGATGGAGGAGGCACATGAGGGGCTGCAAGGCACACACATATGAGTGAAGCCTTGTTGAACCTTCCAGCCCTTCCCAGTGGACAGACGACCACAGTGGATGCTTAGGAGCACACCAACTGCCTAGTGGGGCCCTGCATGAACTCCTGAGCCACAGAATCATGATAAATAATAAACTGCTGGTTTTTTGTTTGTGTTTTGTTTAAAATTTTTATTTTAGAGAGAGTGAGAGTGCAAGTGGGGGAGAGGGGCAGAGGGAGAGAGAGAGAGAAAGAGAGGGAAAATCTTAAGCAGGCTCCATGCTCAGCTCAGAGTCTGATATGGGGCTTGATCTCATTACCCTGGGATCATGACCTGAGTCGAAATCACGAGTTGGATGATCAACTGACTGAGCCACCCAGGCACCCCTAAAACCATTGTTGTTTTGGGATGGTTTGTTATACAGCAGTAGATAACTGCTACATAAAGGTAGAGCTAGAAATGATCCTTTGAGGTCATCACTCAATATCTATCCAATGAATATTTATTGAGCCCCTATTATATGCCAGGCATGATTCTAGTTATGTGGGAAATATCATTAAATAAAACTTTCAAAGATTTTTTTTCCTGGTGGAACTAATATTTTAGTAAGAAGAGTCAGGCAATAATCAATAAAAATGAGTAAGTTATACAGTGTATTAGAAGTCAATAAATGATAAGGAAAAAAGGAGTAGACCAAACTGGGGGGTGGGGGTGCTGAGAACGTGAGTGGTGTGAGGAAGGTTGGTATGTTATCAAGATGAAGTTCCTCTTTTTTTTTTTTAATTTTTTTTTTCAACGTTTATTTATTTTTGGGACAGAGAGAGACAGAGCATGAACGGGGGAGGGGCAGAGAGAGAGGGAGACACAGAATCGGAAACAGGCTCCAGGCTCTGGGCCATCAGCCCGCGAGATCGTGACCTGGCTGAAGTCGGACGCTCAACCGACTGCACCACCCAGGCGCCCCTGAAGTTCCTCTTTTAAAAGTAAAGAAACCAAGTCCTGGAGGGACTGGGGAACTTACCCAACGTCATAAGGGTAACAAAGAGGAAAGCTTGGGCCCTAGTGCTAAGCCCTTGGTCTGCACAGCATGATCCCCTCTGAAGCATCTTCACTCTGTAATACTTTCTCCTGGTTTATCCAGATCTTCCTACGGCCTTGGGGCTGCCTCCAATGCCAAACTTGGAGCTACAGGCATGTGCTTTGCAGGGAAGGGGCCCTCTCTCTTCATAACAGGTCGCGGTGATTGTTATGATGTAGGCCTATCAGGAATGTAGTCCACACATGTTTCTACCTGCAGGATGGGCCCTGTGCCAGCCTCCCAGGCTGCTGTTTGCATGGCATCCACTCTGAACACTCCTCAGGCAAACACAGGGCTGCCGAGTCTCCTCAGCCCATTAAACGGAGTTGGAGAGGGGGGTGTCGTTCATGGTTGTGTCCTCTTCCCTAACCCAGAGCAGAGAGTTTGACCACACCTTGCCTGCCCCAAGGGCCCCCATCCATTTCTTCTCTCTCCCCAAAAAGGAATCTTTTTGTATTTTGATTATCTTCTAAGAAATGGTTTTCCAGCAACACGGCCGAACAGGTGTTTGAAACTACTGTCTCGTGTGAAGGAGTTGGGCCCATTTCCCCAGTGTCAGCCTCTCCATCTCTCTTATCTCTTACTAGGCATCAACAGTAGAATTAGAGAGACAAGTTGCTTCCAGAGGGCGAAACCACCTCAGTAAGGGTGGTTGCTGCTCCCTCCAAGACCTCTGTGGTCTGGTATCTCTTGGTAATCTCCCCCCGAGAACACCAGAGAAATCATGAGATCACACTCTGGTCAGTGGGAACATCCAGGTGCAGTGGGTTATAGGCACACACTAACACACTGAACCACATCCGACATGTACCACCAAGACCAGATTTGTTGAAGGGAACAACGACAACAAAAGTCACAAGTAAAGATCGTAATGTCATTAGACTCATAAAGGGGACGGTGGGCAAGTCAGAGAAAGCTTACTAAATCAGATAAGTAGAGTTTATGTCATGGATATGCTAGGTACATAATCCAGTGATGCCAAGTGGTGTAGCTGTTTTGCTCAGCCGAAGCAATGGGACCTCAACCATCTAGATCTCCTACAGCCTTTCCTTCCTGTTGCAGTAAAATGGAGAGACATTTTGGAAAATATCTTTGACCTTTAAGATTCTAACATTAAGCCCGCCATGAGGCTTATATTGGAATCTTTGTACAAGGTAATTTCTGGTCTTGGTTTCTTGGATCTAAATTATTGAATGTTAATACTGTGTTGGATATGTGAAAAATGACTTCCATCATTCCTTTCCCCATATCTGCTCTTTGGTTACTCTCTCCTGCCCACCCCAGCCTGGGCCATGTGACTTGCTTTGGCCAATGGGAAAATAGCAAACATGATGCAAACAGAGGCAGGAAAAGTGTTCGTGGATTAGGGTTTGCTCTCTTGACACAGAGAACTCTTCCATCACTATGTGAAGAGCCTGGGCTGGCAACCTGGGGGGTGAGGGACCAGTTAGAGAGAGGCCCCAACCACCCCAGCATGCCCAGCTATTCAGCTGGGGCCCCATCATTGAGTAAAGCCATCCTAGACTATCCAGCCCCAGCCAAGCCAGCCCAGAGCTGAATAACAGTTCAGGCAAAGTTCAGACTCTTTTCTTTTTTCTTTTTTTAAAATGTTTATTTTTGAGAGACACAGAGAGGCAGAGAGAGAGCATGAGCAGAGGAGGGGCAGAGAGAGAGGGAGATAGAGAATCCCAAGTAGGTCCCATGCTGTCAGCGCTGAGCTGGATATGGGGCTTTGAACTCATGACCTGAACCCAAACCAAGAGTTGGACGCTTAACCGACTGAGCCACCCAGACACCCCAAAACTGTAGATTCTTAAGAAAGAACCCATTTGTTCTTTTAAGACACTAAATTTAGGGGGTGGTTTCTTAAGCAGTAAAAGTTACCTGTTACAAATACACCATAAAATTCTCCCTAAAATATGCTCTCTAGATGGCTAGCAGAGTCTGGAACAATGAAGGGTTTATTATCCCAATAAGTGGCTCTCTTCATGTTATTATTTTTTTGTTTTTTTTAAAGCATAAAGAGAGAGAGAGAGAGAGAGAAAATGAGCAGGGGAGGGCCAGAGAGAAAGGGGGACAGAGGATCTGACACAGGCTCTGTGCTGACAGCAAAGAGCCTGACGTGGGGCTCGAACTCAGGAGCTGAGTTCAGATCATGACCTGATCTGAAGTCAGACAACCAACTGAGCCACAAAAGCGCCTCTTCATGTTTTTATTTTAAATGCTCACAAAGCCACTGATTTTTCCAATTTTTCAAAACATGGTCCCCCAAATCAGAAACAGAAAATCTCCATACCCATGTGGCTAATCATTTCTATTAGGTTAGCAATGAAATGAAGCCACCTCCCAGGGCAAAGCGTGTATGTCCACTCACCACCCTGTAGGCTCCATAGCATACTGTCCCAGATAAATGTCCCAGCAAAGACCCTCCTCTTGGGTAATCTCTATTTGTTTAATGCATGCAAAGGACAGAATGCTTTGAGGGCAGTATTCCTTTCTGCTATAGCAAAACAAGCCTGTTGTCATGTGCTCACCTGCCAGGGAGCATCGCTCAGAGCAGAAAATGAATATGAACAACAGTAACCACTAAGATGACAACAATGACAGTAAAAGACAGTCCCTGTGACATCAAAGAGTTCAATGAAGGAAGAAAACAATCCACAGGGTACTGGGCTGAGAGCTGGGTCTCAATCATGTCATTTGAAATTTTAAAGTAGTGATTAAGCAGTTTCAGGTCACTAGAGTTCTGTGGGACAGTTATAGTGTCTGGGCAACTGGAGTGATTTGGGTCTTGACTTGGTCACTGGCAAGCCTCCACCACTAATCCTAGATGAGAATGGCTACCAATTATTGAGGGCCTGCTTTAACCAGCTTCTCTGTCTAAATACACTGATTAAACTCCTATAATAACCCTGTAAGGTAGGTAGAAACTTCCTCCTTTTATGGATAAAGAAACTGAGGCTCAGAGAGGTTAAGGGTCTTGCCTAAGGACACACAGCTCAAGCCTGGCAGATCTGGGATTAGATGTGAGGTCTCTGTGGCGGCATGCTGTTCTATATCCTGGTACTCCTGCAGCTTTAATTCTGGCCCATGTTGGCCTCTCTTTTTTAAGACACCCACTTATGTGGCCATAATTCAACATTACAAAGAAAAAGCCTCAACAAAAATCACTGTGAAATCTATTAAAATAGGACCATGACCAGTCAGAGAATTGCAAAGAACTGAGTCCCAACCCAGGTTTACAGTAAGCGATGCCTATCTGATTTCATTATATGGTTGATTCAGAACAATTTTGGCAATAGTATTCTACTATTTGACAGAAAAATATTTACTCGGATTCTTTCTTGGTCCTTGATGATACCTTAAGTGTCTACACAGAAGGTATTTAAAATGCAGCATCTCAAATTGAGTTCAAAATTGAGCCAACCCGTGGTCACATCATATGTTTCCACAATCGCAACTTAGGTGTAACTAACTCCCATTGTGTATTTTAGAATTTATTCTAAAGATGCCATTACATTCTATTTTTTTTACACCAACATTTTTTTGAAGAACTCTTTGGCCACAAGCATTTAAATTATTACGAAAGATCCTCCCTTCAAAAATCTGAGATCAACTTCCAACACAAAGGCCAGTTCCTGTGGTGATTTTCACACATACTTAGGCACAGTGAGTCTTGCTGCTTTGCCACCGCAGGAACCTCGCCATCCTGGGCCATGTGTTCATTCCCTCTGTCCTTCACCACACACATCATAGGGATAAATACTTAGACATTGTTTAGTAGTTTCTTATTGATCGAAATAAAGAGCATTCAGCTCATCCAATGCTGTGTGGAATTCTGGAAATCACACATTCCTTGTGAGCCCGTCAGGGAAGTAAGTAATCATTCATTCATTCTGCACGCTACTGAGCATTTACAACATGCTCAGAGTCTTGCTAGTCAAAGTGTGGTCTGAGCACTGTCAGCTTCATCTATGGCATCAGACGCTGCATTTTAAAAGACCCCAGGTTAGGGGTGCCTGAGTGGCTCAGTCAGTTAAGTGTCCGACTTCAGCTGAGGTCATGATCTCATGGTTAGTGGGTTCAAGCCCCATATCGGGCTCTGCGTTGATAGCTCAGGGCCTGGAGCCTGCTTTGGATTCTGTTATCTCCCTCTCTCTCTGCCCCTCCCCTGCTTGTGTTCGTTCTCTCTCTCTCTTTCTCTCAAAAATAAATAAATAAATAAATAAACAAACAAACAAACATTAAAATAAAAGACCTCCAGGCTATTTGTGTGCACACTGAAATCCAAGAAGCACTCCGTTAGGGATATTTTAAGGGACGAGATTTTCTTTATAAAGTAGCAATCCTGATATCTGCTCTAAGGATGAGGAAGTTACCAAGAGATAGTCCAAACCCATGAAAGATGGGGGTTTCCCATGGCCCAGGGATGCTGTGAGATCCAGATGTGGGATACTGCACAGGTATTCTAGGCCTAGAGAGCTGGGGTGAAGGTGACAGAGGCAACCACAGGAACTGTCCTAGTAGAAGCAAATTCTATCTTCAAGATTGAAATGGACGATGTTCTTAATGTTCATGAATTTGGTAGAGTGTATTCTGTAAGAGCTTTAGATGCAAAAGTTGTTTCTAGTGGTGGTCTTCAACTTCGATGAGCATGAGAATCACCTGCTGATCTTGGCTGAGAAAAGAAAGAAACAAAAAAGCAAAGAAAGACCAACTCCAGGTCTCACTCCTGGACACTCTACTTCAGCAGAAGGACAGCAGCATCTCTCAAACTAGGCTGCACACCAGAGTCACTCATGGAGCTTTGAAAAACTAATGCTTAGGCCTCAACCCAAGAGATCCCAATATAACTGGTCAGAAGATAAGTCTCAGCATCGGGACTTTAAAAAATTGCTCGGGTGAGTATAATGAGCAACCAAGGCTGAGAACCATTGCTCTGGGATAGTGGTGCTCAGTGCACCAGAACCTCCGGAAGGCCCGTTCAAACACAGATTTTGGGGACCCCACTCCAGAGTGTCTTATTCAATAGGCCTGGGGTTGGGGCCTGAAGATCTGCATTCCCATCACAGTCTCAGGTGATGTTGATGCAGCCGATTTGGGGTTTACACTTTGAGGAATGTTGGTATAGAGAGAGACGGGGCTGGGAGCAGGATTGGCATTTTATTTTCATTTTTTTTAATGTAATATTTTTGAGAGAGACAGTGTGAGCAAGGGAGGGGCAGAGAGAGAGGGGAAGACACGAATCTGAAACAGGTCCCAGGCTCCTAGCTGTCAGCACAGAGCCCAACATGGGGCTTGAACTCTGAAAGGCGAGATCATGACCTGAGACAAAGTCAGGCACCAAACCGACTGAGCCACCCAGGTGCCCCAAGGATGGGCATTTTTAAACATGCAACCAAGGGATTCTGATGTGGAGGGTCTGAGCTCCATTCTTTGAAACAATGTTCTGTATGTGCTGAGCAAACAGCTTAAGCCAAAAACCAGTGGTGACATGTCAGACTGGCACCCAGGGATCCTCTGTGTTTCTCTTGCTCAACACCATGGGACTTTTCCCCCCATTTATATCTTCTAATCTAAGCATCCATTTCTATTGTCCTAAAGGATGTGCTATGTTTTATTCCCTAGAGAGGCAGAATAACACAGTGGTTAAGAGAACAGATGCTGGACTCGGACCGCCTGAGATGAATCCTAGGTCTTGACCCTTCAAGTCAAATTGTTTAACTTCTCTAGCCTTCAGTTTTTCCATCTGTAAAATGGGGTATCTGCCTCAAATTGCTGATTAAATAAGCTAATATATGTGAGATGCCATGAAGTGGAACTGGTGCATGGGGAGTGCTATATAAACGTTGATGATTATTCCCAGTCCTTTCTCTTAGAAACAGATAAATTGGACTTCTTCCAGAAAAGGGGGAAGGTTTGAGAAGCCTCCTGGCTGGCAAGAATATGGGAGTTCTCTTTCTGCTACCCTAGTATTTGATGTGTATCTCTACCATGACACTGTTTTCCTCTCTCACTTAACTTTTCTCCCTTATCCACAGACGGTGAGATCCTCATTAGGGAAGACCCATGTCTTTCTAACTTTTGGATTCCCAGAGCCTAGCATGGTGGCAGACACAATGCATGATCTTCAGAAAAGGTCTTCCTGCTTTGGAAGTTGCCTGCTATCATCTATTAGCAGCAGAAATGACTCTCCAATATACAACTGGTCTTCCTACTGAGAAATGGGGGTAAGGGTGAGAAGGCAATGGTGTGAGACAAATCATCCCCATTGCATAGCATTTGTTCCTAAGGCTGTGGATGGTGAAGCCACAAGAACACTGTCACGATGGGTGAATTTGTAAGATATCAGATATTCTCATAACATGAGGCAGACTGCCTGATTCCCCACAAAGCCTTGCCAGGTCTGTTTCATTTCCTCTTTTTGCACACATGAGATGTGTTTCCCAGCTTTCCTTGAATTATGTGGGCCATATGACTACATGTCACCAACAGAATGTGGTGTGGTGGTGTGCTAAGCAGATGTGATGTGTATCATCTCCAGGCTGAGGGGTTAAGATCATGGGTGCCTTTTCTAGGCTCCCCTGTCCCCTTGGCTACCAGCCAAGGAGCATAACTCAGGTCCTGATGGTTTGCCGAGCTCCAACATGGAAGAAGCCTGGATCCCTGAATGTCTGAGTGGAGCTGAATTTCCCCCACTGTCTCCCACTCCGACTCAAGTGAACCATGATTTTTATTATTTAAATCACTGAATTTGTAAGTTGTTTGTTACCCCACTTCTCCTACTCTAAAAACATGGGAAACTAGAAATCCCAACTTGGGGTCTTCACATGTATTCGTGGGGGAGCCTTACTTTGACAACCTGTGAAGCACATGTTCATGTGGATTCCCAAGGGCTGCTCCACTGCCAATGTCAAACATAACATGGTTGCCTGGTCAACAAAGGCAACTGGACACATCTCTTTTTACTAAATTGATTTTTAGTATGAATTTTTCAGTAAAATATGCAAGGAAGTTAATTTGGTGCTATCTTCACTTTTAGAAATAAAACTTTTTTGGGAAAAAAAGCAGAATGTCAAAGATCCGTAACTAAAAAAAAAAAAAAAAAAAAAAAAAATTCTCTCCTAGGATAATTGGTATGATTTAAAAATTATAGGCTTTCCGGAAAAATGTGGCTGCTGGTGCCTCCTTGGGGCTTCTGTGGAACAAAGTCTTTATGAAGACCAAAAACCACATACTGTAAACTGGGTTTTGCTTGGCTCCGTGTCCATTAGGCCTCATCATCTTCATTTATTCTCCCCATCAATTTTAGATCGCTGGGTGGTAAACTCACCATATTCTGGCTGGTCTTTGGTTTCAAAAGTCCGGTGGCCTGGGGCTGGACGGTCCCACCCCCTGGGGGGGTTGAGGAAGTTGCTGTCGTCTGAGGTACTGTCGTACTTATAGTCTTGGTCCCCGCTGTTGGCCCTCGTCAGGGACAAGGACCTCTGCCACCAGGCCCTCCAGTCAGGGGACGGGACTGACCAGCTGGGCTTATTCTCTGGATGCTGATCTTTATCTGCTTCAGAGTCAGGACCATCCACCACCTCTATGGTGACCTGAAGAATTCAGAACAGGGCAGAGTCAATGAGGAGTTGATAGTCTCCAAACTAGGTACCCTCAGAAGAAAGTCTAAGAGAGTAGAGGGAAATGATGGCTGTGTCCCTCATGGAGGAAAGCTGAGACCACATGGCAATACAAAATGGAAAACACCCAGGAATGGCCCAAATGAACCACATGACCAGACAGAACTGATGTACATGGGCTTCAGGTTGTGAGGAGACAGTTCATCACTAGGGTTCTTGATTTTCTGATGACTACATTGCTGGGAAGTCTTTAATTCAAGAAGTAAACATGTACTATATGTGTTTCTAAGGTGACACAAGAATAATTATAATAAAACCAAACACTTCTTGAGTACTTAATCTGTAACCAGGCACTGTTTTACGTATTCTACATATATTAATTTATTTAATCCTCATAATAACCGAATAAAGTTGGTACTACTGATTGGCCCCTATGGTTGACTGTCTGAAAAGATGGCCTCAGCAATTCATCCCATCTTTGTATTAAGAAGTGGAGGTTATTTCCTCTCCCTTTTATTCTGGCCCAGTCTTGTGACTCACTTTGTTCAGTAGAATATGGTAGGAGTGATGCTGTGACAAGCCTCATGAGGTCTTGCAGCTTCCATTTTCATTCTCTTGGAATGTTCCTACCATTAGGTAAGGAAGCCTTACACATAGTGAAGAGAGAGGCCACTTAGCAGAGAGCTGAGGTACTTCAGCCAATGGCCAGCTCCAGGGCCCCAGTCATGTGAGTAAGGCCATCTTGGATGCTCCAGCCCAGTTGGGTTACCACAGTCAATACCATGTGGACCAGAGACAAGCTCTTTTGGCTGAGCCCTGTTCAAATTCCTAACCCACAGGACTATGGGCAATCCAGGATCATCGCTTCAAGCTGTTAAATTTTGGTTGCTAGACAGCAACAGGTTAGCTTTTTGCAGAGAAGTTAACAACTTGCTGAAGGTCACACAGCGAGAGTGGCAGATGCAAACTATCTAGCCCTAAAGCCCATGCTCTCAACAACTTTGTGACACTGACTCTCAAAAGGTAATAGAAGTACTGTCCCCTCATGCAAATAGGGGGGCAAGAAGGCCACAGAGGCTGGTGGGGACTGGCCGCCACAGGTTGTGTAGAGGTGTGAGCACAAGGTCCTCAAGAGCCGCAGTTGTGACTTTCGCCCATCCCACATCCAGACTCTGTGTGCACTCCTCAACTGATCCTGAGGGTCAGAGCAGATAATCCCAGAGCCAAGGTTAGAACTTGCTCTTGGATGTACAGAGCCTAGTTTTGAAGTCATGGGGCTGGAAGAATGCAGTTTCTTGGCTCTGAGAGACAATCAACGTAGAGAAACTTGTTTAAAAAAATATAATAAAAGACTCATTGGGTTCCTTTGGCCATCACATAGCCCTTGCAACACCCCCTGGATGAGTTGTGTGCAAATGAATCAGAAACATGTGCTCCGAGTAATCAGCGCAAGATGTACTGGGCAGATGCGTTTCCAGTTTTGCCCTAACTCGACATCTGAGAGAATTGCTGGGATGCTCTGCCAAATTGCACCAGGGTGTGCCCATCTCTGAGACAAACGGCCCCTTCCTTGTGTACTAGGAATGGGGAGGTTTGAATTCTACTCACTTTGACATTCCAAAGAGGTTGCCCAGCCTATGGTAGGCCTGGGCTATGGCCTTGTGTGGTCCAGACACAAGGTCAAGGGTATGACCATCAGTCCCAGAGTATCCTCGGGTTACAGGAAGCCAAGTGAATCTTTTTCTGGTGTGGGATACCTAGAAGGGCATCATTGGCTTTATTCCATGCCACCATCATCTCCAGCCTGGTAAGCATCTCTTGCATATTAATAAATAATTATGGAATGTTTAGTGGTCTTCCAGAAAGGAAAAAAGGGAAGAGAAGAACAGGAATACCTCATACATCTTATATCACTGCTGTTTGTTGCAAAGGCTGGTTGCTGGAGAGTGACTGGGACCCACATGCAGCCCTGGGAGGACAGGTGCCCCTGGAATGCACAGCTGGGTGGTGCAGAACTGAGCCAGGTACTGACAGGGCAATGCTGAGCCTTCAGAGACATAACCTTTCTCTTCTGCAGTTTCGTTCCCCTCTGCTTACAGACTGAACGACTGAGCCGCAACAATCATCTGTAAGGCTATTAAGGGTCTCAGAGGGGAGAAGCTGCCAAGAGCCAGGCAAGCCTGCAATTATGGTAATGAAATCAGTCTCTGGGTAGAAGATAAGGGGGAACGTGCCCAACGGTTTTGGTATTCCATTTGTATTCAGACTGGAGTCGAAGGGATTGCCTAAGCAGACGTGCCCTGCAATTTCTCCAAGCTGGGAATAAAAACAATTTCATGTTTTAAGCTATTACCGTCAATACGATTTTTCCCCCCAAACTGTTGCTCAGGTCCAAACAAAATAGATTTGTTGCCTGGCCAGGCAATAAGTAGCAAAATACGAATTTACTCCAAAAACCATATCGATGACTGAATCTTAACAGCTTAGAGGTTTCTTTTTCCCCTTTAGTTTCTGGCCACAGACCCAACTGAATTAAAAACAAAACAAAACAAACAAAAAAACAAAAACACACATAAATCTTAAACCCACCCTTCCCTGCGGTTAATAATGTGGAAATCTCATACTGATATCAGAAGAAGAAATCTAATCTTGAACCTGAAATTTTATAGGCATCCAATTAAAGAAACTTAATGAGCATGATCAGTGGCTTCTTGGATGGCAGAGATTAGTTTTATATTTCCTGTTGCTCTCATTCTTATTTACATGTTCTTCAGCATCAAAGAATGTGTGGATAAAGATGCCTTAAACAATAATCAATGTGACAGGCTGAAGATGTGGGAGTATAGCAGATTTCCAAGCCAAAAAAGATGCTAGACCTTACATCTTTTCTGTTCCTTAATATGCATAATTGATGTGCTTTAGTATATTTATTTTTTCTGGACTTTTCCACACCATGAATCAAGACAGTACAAGAAAGAGAACTCTTTTAAAAGACCCAAGTCCAACTTCTGGCAGGAACTTGTCAGCTCCAAAAAAAAAAAAAAGTCCAAAATAAGTGTCGATTTGGGGAATTCTGTCCAAAATTGGGAAGTGAGGATAAGATCCTATGAAGTGCTACCAGCTTCTTTCCTTCTCTTGATAGTTATTTGTTAGAAACAAACTCTTTACAGTAACTTGCTCTGAAAAGCACTTTTCATAGAGAAACTAACACATTTCTCAGTCTATTGGTTAATAAACTAATGACTCTGTGAATACATAAGCTTTGACCTCTCAACTCAGGAGAATCTTCTAGAATCTTTTAACTCAGTCCTCTAGGCCTGGAGACCTCTGGTGATTAGGCAGGTGTGGGTTGGTATTTTCCAGACAGGAAAATGAACCCTGTATGGTGAAGTGATTTCCTGAAGAGCACAGAGCATCCAGACAAGGAAATAATCTCCAGTGAAGAGTTAGGTCCCAGATTACGCTCTCCCTCCTTCCATGACAAATGCAGCAGAAAGAACACAAAATGGACTAAGGAAGTATATAATCTCTGCCTCTCAGGCTCACCGATGATCCAAAACACAACTATAGTAACCCAGCGGTTACCAGTAACTGTGGTTAGTACTTTGAGGTTTGCAGTGTGCTTGCCCAAACATTATTGCTTGTTCTTCACTAGTTAGATCTGAATTTCAGGCACAGAAACTGGATTGGAGAATTCAAGTTCCTGAGGGGAACAGCAACGTGCAGAGCTGGTCTCAAAACTAGTTCTTATGATTCTCAGTTATTTTTTTTTAAGTTTATCTATTTATTTTCAGAGAGAGAGAGAGAGAGAGAAAATGCAAGTGGGGGAGGGGAAGAAAGAGAGGGAGAGAGAGAAACCCAAGCAGAATCTGTGCTGTCAGTGCAGAGCCCTATGTGGGGCTCGATCTCACAAACTGTGAAATCATGACCTGGGCTGAAATCAAGAGCCAGACTTAACCAACAGAGCCACCCAGATGCCCCTGATTCCCAGTTATTTTATATATGTTTCCTCTGTCATCTTAATCCACTATCATCACCAACCTGAATCTACCCATTTGGGGACACTTACCATATACCTGTCTCTGTGTTAAGTGCTTCATGTGGATGATCTCATTTAATTCCCACAACAAACTTTCTTTTGTTCAGTATTGTACTACAGAGGTACTCATGGGTAATATTACCACCCTCATTTTATAGATAAGGACACTGAGGCATAGAGAGGTCAAGTCACCTGCATGAAACCACAGAGACCAAGCCTGGTAGATTCAAGTGTGATGCCTGATCTAATGCAGCTCAGTGCTCTGGACAACATGCTCCCATGAGAATCTTAACAATATAGGCTTGTCCACATAGCTGTGTGGGCCCATGTCTTGGGCACAGAATTTCTTGTTTCTTCCTCAGTCAGACCTGCCATTTCAAAAGTATTTTAGAGAAAAAGGAGGAGGGGAAATCAAAAGTAGTAGCCCTGCCCAACTCATCTGGTTGTATCGTGTGGCACTCAAGAGGCCTATGACCATGTACATAAGTCTGTGCAAGTAAAAAAAAAGGAACTTTGGGTGACTATTTTAAGTCTCCCTCAATTGGAAAAAAGAAATAAGTATATTGGTTGAAACTAATACTAATTTCGGCTTGATCCAGAAAAGAGAAGTATTTGTTTGTGAATAGCTACTATGGTAATGAAGTGATGCAGTAAGACTAGTAATGAGTTTATTTTAGAGACTTTTGTCTTTGCTATCTGACCATCAGCTGCAGACCAAAAAACCCAGCCAACAATACTAAAGTTCAAGTCTAACTTGTCCTGGGGGAATTTCCTTTCTTTCTGAATGATTTATTTATTTATTTTTAACAAAACCCAACTTCTAGAATTGTTTCAAATTTAATATGGAGATTGTGTTCAGGAGTTTGAGGCTCTTTCTTTCTAATTCGTACATTGTTGTCTTTTCTTTTTCCCACTCACTTCCACAGCCCTAAACCAGTCCCACCTGGCTTGGAGGGGTGGGGTGGAGGTGGGGTGAAAAAAGCTCCAAAAATCCAGGCTTTTTAAAGGATTTCCCTTCCTAAAAGTTAAGAGGTCCAAGAGGGATGTGACAGGCTTGCACAGGCTCAGCAATATCACTTTGCAAAGGTGTGGGCTATTTGGCAAGAGGGACAGCAGACCCTAGTCCTGGAGCGTGGGAAACTCTTCCAGACACTGGA